GAACATGGTTGTTGTTTAGGTTGCGGGGTGAGTTTGGGAAGCTGTTGTAAGAGCCACGCGATTTTAAATAGTCGTGCAGATGTGTCAGTCCACTCCAATGTAGAGCCAAAAGGTTTGCAGGACAGGGCGCATTGTGAAACAACTCAAGTTGTTGGAGAGTGAAAGATGAGGTGAAAGTGAGAGAGCATTCACTCGTAATTACTGCGATGACCCAGAGGCGACGAGCCAACCACACATGCCGGATTTAATACGACTCATACGCAAAGAGATACTCTACGAAAGAGAGTAGTATCGCATCCCCTAGAACCTTGGTCGTAATTGCTGCGTATAAGTACAGTTAATAATGCGAGAGGCGACGATTGGTAATGTGGGAAGTGGCTGGTGTGGGCGTCACATCAAGCCGTCTACACCTAATGGTCAAAACCTGTAGTACTCTTTTGTTCGGCATATTCCAAACCCCGACGACTGACCAAAGGAAAGAGATGAGTAGAAACCATGGTCGGTAGGCACGGAGGAACGACGCGGGCAGTCTCCACGTGGATCCGCGTCACGGGCGCAGTTTAGCCGAGCACTAGCGCGCCGGCGCGCCAGCTACAAAACCCCGCCAAAAACTATTTCCTTGCTCCTCCAACGGCCTGCCTTGCCAACGCTGCGTTTCTTTGCACACCTACAGACACTCTTTCGAGAGCACGTCCTACCCTGCAAATGAGAAATTCGGAGTAATCTTCACTTTTTATCACGCCCACTTGTGGGCTGTACTGCTCGTAAGAGCCTGGCGTGACTCACGTCTGCATCCGGCATCAGAAAACTCAGGGCGCCAGAAAGCGCGACTTCTTGCTTCGGCGGGAGGGAGTGCGGAACTGGTGTCCCTATGGGAGTCGGTGCGAAGATTGTGTGCTTTGATCCTTCGGGTGAGAGGTGACACTGTAGTACAATACGCAGCGTACTTGACCTTGAGTAGCCTTTTGGGTGAAAGAGGGCACGGTATCATTCGATTCTGATTACTCTGGCGAGGCAGGCCGTTCACCTTTTTTTCACTATGTAAGTGCGCTTTGCGCTGTCTCCTCTGGTTCGAGGATACTGCTAATAAAACCTCATGCGAATCCAACGAAACGAAGCCCTACGACTACTGCACGATTTTCCTCTTGTCTTCTTCCTGGAGCGCCTACTCCTGCGGCTCCGATGCTACGTCCTTCTCCAGCTCATACATGATGTCTGTCCGCAACGTATACTTAGTACCCTTCACAACGTCATCGCCCGAGTGAATGAGGAAGCGATGCTGGAAGAGCAGGACACGTCCGGCCTTTGGCTCGACGTCTATACGGCTCTTCATACTGCCATTGAAGAATGTAGTGGCGCCACCCTCGAGCTGTTTCTCTCCGCTCTTCGATACCGCATCATTGAGGTAGAGGTGCAGGGTGAAGTAAGAGCGCTCGGTGCCGTCGGGCGTTTCGTAGGTCCCATCGCAATGCGCTGATCTAGTCAGCAGCTATAGTGGCAAAATGCAATGCAATACATACGTTTGAAATACTCCCCGCCGATGTACTTGAGATATCGTCCGCGTTCATTGAGTCTGGTCACCTTCCACGTCTCGCCCCGTCTCGCTGGGCCGTTGCCTGTGACATCGACCCAGTTATGCAATCGATGGATCTCAGGCACCGACGCCTCTATCCTCGCCCATAGCTTGGCCATGATCTCTTTGTTGTCCCAGATAATGCGCCCACACTTTCTCGTGTCCTCATACATAGCCTGCATGCCTCCACCAACGTTGACCAGAGCCCTTTCCCACTTGCCGTTTGTGGTCGCCTCGGCCGCTTGCACTAAAGCGTTGCACTCGTCTTCGGAGAGGACACCATCAAGTATGACAGCCCAAGACTTTTCGTCTTCTAACAGGCCAGCCTTTTTAAAATCAATTTTGGACCTGGTCAAGTTGGGCGCTGGGCCTTCGAGGAAACCATCGGGCAGTGTATATGTGGAGGGCGGAGGGCTGGGCTGGACGGATGTCCGACCTTCGTGGGTGCGAAGCAGGTCTTCCTTCAAGTCCGTGGGTAAGGTTCTGGCAGCTGCCATTGTTGATAGATATCGCACTGAAACTCGGAATGTGCGCAAAGGAAGCATGTCCTGAAATGAACTTTTAAATCAATGCGGACTATAAAGACTGCGCCGGGCTGTGAAACCAGCTGACTGCTGCCTGGAAGCCGTCGATCCATACGGGAGACATGGAGGCCACAAGGCGTCCATCGTGCATTTCCTGCATATCGCCCACAAGGAACGCGTGAAAGCTCTCAGGAGCGAATTCCTGCTCATCTTATGCCTTGGTCGCCCTGGAAGAAACAAGCAGTAGCTCCATGACGCGGGTCCCTGGCGTGGCCACGGGACGATGATCGGCGAAAAGAAAGCACAGTAGCTGGACAAGTGACTTCTAGAAATACGGCCGCCGCCTTCCGCGCTGTGTTCTCAACGTTTCACCTACCATGGGTGACAGCTGCCTTGTTACCTGTCCAGGTGCTGCTGGGTGCTGGGGTGGCAGGGACGATCACGTGGAAAGGCAGTAGCTATTCGCGGCCCTTCTCGATCCTCACAGCCTCGCGTTTCAGGCACACGGGCTGCATCCGGGCTGCATCATCATCGTCACCGCGCGCAACTGATCCACCAGCTCATCCACAGGACGCGAGTCGGACGCAGCACAGTGAAGGCAGTTTCATGTGACTTGTTGCTTCTTATCGACACCAGCGCCGTCGTGCAGTGCGCGACCAAGCCCATCGCAAGCCACTGCCGCTGCCTCCCTGCTCCGCCAACCGTCGCGCCAAGCTAGAGGTGCCGACTTCACTCCTAATTTCCCGCTGCCACGCCAGCTTCACGACGCTCCGAGGCGCTGACGCGACGCCGCAAAGCTCAATTCCCCGCGACCTGACTGACCATCGTCGCCCTGTTCCCCCCAATTACCAACACGTCGTCCCTGGCGTCGCGACCGGCCGGACCACCACGCTCGCCGCCGTTCGCTCAGCAACCACAGCACTAGCCACGCAAACACACCGCCCGCCGCCAGCCTACGCCAGACCCTGCGTCTACCGTCTATCGATACCTGCCATTCTTCACCCACCAGCGACGATCGTCGCGCGCCTCTCGTTAACACCACATCTCCCGACTCACCCCAGTCATGTCGCACCCTCAGGATGCCGGCTCTCCGGTGCCCCCAGCCCACCGCAATCGATTCCCAACGCTCTTCGAAGTCCTTAGTAGGACAACCAGGCCACCGCTGGATCTCTTTTCCTTCTACATCTACATGCGCGACCAGCAGCGCTCCGTCGACTACTTGGACTTCTGGTAAGACAATCCCATGTCTAGGCTCTGGGACTACGCTGACCACCAACAGGCTTGATGTGTCGCAACATCTGCAGCTATGCAGGCTTTACGTGCGACGGTTACACAGGAGCATGATAGAAGAAACTCCTGATCTCGAGAAAAACAGTAGGCGTTCGTCCTATTTGTTGAACAATGCTGGAGAAGGCCCTTCTAACGAGAAAGGTGACAATCTGTCTGACCAGCGCTTGTCCGCCTTTCTTCGTTCCGACCGCGGCAGCCGCAACCACTCGCCACAAAACAGTCAGGGTAGCAACCAGAGCCGAGAGTTCCCGCGTCCAAGCCTGAACTTACTAGACACTCCGGGTGATTCGAGCTCGCCCGGCCAGGACTCATCCGCCGACAACACACAGCCAAGCAGAGAGGATTTGCGCGCGTCGGCAGAGAAGATTCTGTACACGTACTTGCTCCCCGGGTCCGAGCGGGAGATAATAATTCCCCAGAGTATCCTGACCGAGGTTCAAGAGGCCATAGAAGGGCCAGAGCAGCGTGCGGATCCCGAGCTCTTTGACAGTGCCAAAGACTACGTCTTCCAAGCCATGGAGCGCGACGCATACCCAGGTTTCTTGCAGAACAAGGGCCTCGGCAACCTTGTGCCCCAGAGCATGATGCTCCGTCTCATAGTAGGACTGATCAGCTTCTTTGCGGCCATGTGGACGTCGTTCATTCTTATATTCCTTGACAAGTCAAGAAGCACGCGCTGCTGGGTATGTCACCTTTCGGTTATACGATGGAGAATCAACTAATGTTCTGCACAGATCATCCTCCCGTTCACTATCGCCATCTACCTCATCTTCACGCACCAGTACATGCTTGACCCAATCCTCGCCCTGGCTGGATTCAGCGAGTACACCTTCTTCGACTTCAACCGGATCAGGGAGCCATTCGTCAAGAAGACGCTGAACCGGCGCTCCATCACTGTCATGGTCATGTTCCTGGCTGTCACGGTAGCTGTCTGCTGCCTCTTCATCTTTGTGCCAGGCAAGCGCCTGTAAGCCAGTGCAGCTGCATGGCTTGTTTTGATACCACATGTAATGTTTGTTTATTCTTGGCGTTGTCAGAATGCGAAGCGCGGAGGGAATCAAGACCAGCGGGGACATGGAGAAGATACCCCCTCGCTTCGTCGCCATCCGACCTCCTGCAGGCTTTCCTTTGTTTTTGAGCCGATACTTGGATCGGCCATGTTCTGGTTGTGGACGGCTGTTCTCTTTCTAGAGCATGGTGTTCAGGCGTTCTCTGTGAGACGATCAATAGCGAGTTCAACTGAGATATAACCCCCACCAATTGATATTCATCTTTAGCAGCGCTCAAATGCCATGTGAAAGTAGTCAAGCGTGAGATGTATGCACCCCTGATTGACGTTTGGCGAGCCGTTAGGTGTGGAGTTGGTGCATGCACGCCAAGGCGCAATGACGTGAACCGCGGCCGGCTTTCACAACGTCGAAGTGCACCTCACGTCCAATATCGGCAGAGTACGCGCATCGCCAGTCGCGCTCTGTATAGCTCTATCGGAACCACTGCCAGCACTCTATAGCCCAACGCTCTGATCTTCCAATCGCTCGCAATCGCGACATCCGGCGTGCCAAACCTTCTTGCAGCTACAGGCACTAGCGGAGTGGATAGCAGCAACCAGCAAAATGAGCGGGCCAACAGCTAAGAGCAAGAGAGGGCCGACGGTGCTCATGACCGACAGCCGCGACGCTGCACCCCGAGCACCCCAACGACCCGGCGCAGGACAGCGACAGGCGACAGGCGCGCGCTTGATCTCGGTGGACAACATCCTGCAGTACGCCTCCGACATTCCCTCGCAGCAGCAGCGACGCGGCCCACCGGGCAACGCCAACCGCCCCATCATGCACACGCGCACCCCCAGCGGACGCCATCCGCTCGATCCCAGACTCACTGGCCGCCTGATCCCCCAGCACATGCCCACGCGCTCCAGCAAGCTCAGCGAAAAGCTCGTCCTGCTGCCCGAGACGGAGGGCCAGGAGGAGGACGAGAAGGGCGACTTTGACGACGACGAGTACGAGGGCCCGCCCACTGACGAAGACCTCGCGCGACGGACCCCCAAGGGCGGCCCAAACGACAAGAGCTATGCCGAGCGCCTGCCCAAAGCGAAGCGGACGGATAAGCTCTCGCGTGTCACGGCCTACTGCACCGCCCAGGCCTACAAGATGAAGAGCACCGCTCAGTTCGTCAAGGACACGCACAATGCGCGCACCAAGCTGTACGACGACTGCCTCTACACCGTATACCACCTCCCGCTTCTGCCCGGAAACGATGGCTACCGGGTCCGCAGTAGCCCGGCGCTCAAGAGCCCAGGCGGAAAGACGGTGCTCGACGAAGAAATCGAGCGCAACGAGCAGCGCGATCACCACGAAGGCTACTTTGGCGACGAAGAGACATACTACGTGCGCGACGACCACGAGCTCGACCAGCCCTGGGACGGCATGCACGACCGCCGAGACTCGACCGAGAACTCCAGAATCGCGCCCAATGCGCTGACCTTTGGCGAGATGTTCGTCTTCTCGTACGGTGTCGTCGTTTTCTGGAACTTCACAGAGAAGCAGGAGAAGGACATCTTGGCCGACCTCACCTTCTCCGCCGTCGCTACCGGAATCAACATCGCAAGCCGACCCTTGGCCGAGTCCGACTTCGAGACGGAAGAGTTCCATTTCGAATACAACCCCGAGATTCAGCGACCCCGCGTCTACAACGACATGATTACCCTCAAGAGCGGAGACCACATGATCAAGCTAGCCATGAGCCACGCCATCGCGCAGAGCACCAAGCTTAGTCTGTTTGAGGAGAGCATGAGCCGGACTATGCTCGCCGCGCAATACGTACCGAAGCGCTTAGCACTTACCGGAAAGTTGGGCATGAGGAGAACGGATGTAGTCAAGATGATTGGACAACTCTTCACCAGCCGTGTCGAGGTGAACCTGTGTACGTATTGAACCACCCGCTCACGAACCAGCAATTACTAACCATTCTCCCAGCATCGAATATGCTCGACACCCCAAGCTTCTTTTGGGACTCCGAACCTACCCTCCATCCACTCTACACAGCTGTCCGCGAATATCTCGAGATCAAACCCCGCATCCAAGTTCTCAACGAGCGATGTCAGGTCTTCTTAGATCTGGGCGAGATCCTCTCCGACTCCATCAGCGACAAGAAGATGACCAAGATTACGTGGATCATCATCGTACTCATTGTCCTGAGTATCTGCATAACGTGTTTGGAGGTGCTGCTCCGGTTCGCTATTCTGCAAAAGGGCAGGACTAATGTTCCAGTGGCTGGTGACTTGGAAATCAGGGCGGTAGATGGACTCAAGGGAATGGGTCCGCCCGTGTATGCTGGCCCGGGTCTACTCGCTGCGAGGAGTTTGGTTTGGTTTGGCAGCGGGGTGAAGGGTCTTTTAGTTGGTTGAGTGCATGACGTGTGATGGGGAACAGAGGGGTAATACAGATCACGAGGATATGCATCGGGTGGTTTTCCCACGGGCATCTCTAAGAAGGCGCAGTGCTATTCGGTCGCTTTTTTATCATCATTCTAGGCATCAGCGATGGGCGTTTCTGGTCGGCGCCAAGGGTTGTGTTCTTTGGTTCTACAAACTCTAGACTGGGGATACGTGTAATTCTGAAGGGTCCAATTCCAGACAAAATGCATCATCAGGCCCCTTCCTTCATCCTCCTCTCTTCTCTATCGTGATCCAGCACAGCGAAGACGTGTAATCTTCCAAGGGTCAGTTTCCAGACAAGATCAGTCGTCCACCTCTACCTGTCATGTCCCCCCTCGTCCATCGTCATCAAGACTCCCTTTCACTCCTGGACTGTATAGTTCCAACAGGTTCCATGCCAGACTGAATACATCATGAAATCCTGTCCCCTATTTTACCGTTCCGAGTATCGTGATAAAATGCCCCCATTTATATTCCACATCTCCCTCCCAGCACCTTGATCCTCCATCTCCCCATTCACATTCTCACCAGCCACCAGCCAATCATGAAATTCAACACCCCTCTTCTCAACCTCCTCACCGTAGGCGCCATCCTCATCTCCGATGCCTCCGCCCACAAAGACAAAAAGAAAGCCGCCGCGGAACTCGAGAAAGACATGACGGCCCACACCCTGGAAGCCAAAGCTGTGAACTACATGGTCTTTGTCGAGCCCCTATGGCACTTCATGGACATGTGGCATAACCATGAGGCCTCATACGGTGTTACGGGTCTGGACTGGGTGACGGATGCTTGTACAGGCGTTGATGACAGGCCGTTTAAGTGGGACTGTGAGTTAGCCGGTAGAATTGAGAGAGAGTTCTAGATCTAACGTCATGTAGTCAAACCAGCTTGTATCCGCCATGACTTTGCGTATCGAAACTTCAAGCGCCAGGGGAGGCTGGGTCATGTGAGTTATCCCTTCCTTTCCCTCCACAATCCCGCGCTGGCTTTTTTATTCTTTCTTTCCCAAAGCACAAGAGTCACAAACTAATCAAACCTCACAACAGCAAGCCCGCAAGAAAATCGACAAGAACTTCAAGGAGGACATGTACGATCAATGCAGGAAGGAAAAGCACAAACACCTGTGCCGTATTGGTGCGAAGATTTACTATGCCGGTGTGAGGGTTATGGGGAGGAGGGATCTTGTTGAACCGGAGAAGACTATGATGCATGCGACTGGAATCGCCAATGCTACCACCGAGGATACTGCTGCAATCGCTGCCATCACCGTCGACTCGCATGCTGATATTAGTGCTGAGGAGAGGGCTCAGAAGGTGTTTGAGGCTTGGATTGCGGAGCTGCGAGCGCATCCTGAGGTGCTGATGGAGATGACGGAGAGGGATCTGGAGAATGTGGAGGTGGCGCTCGATGAGGGGATCCAGGACATTGAAAAGGGTGATGAGGCGCAGGAAGAGATGGCTGCTGTTTTTCTCTGATGAGATTTGCGAGCTATTGGGACAACGCAAGCATATCCGCTGTGTCATGGTCCAAGAGATCTCTATATCTCTATCCATGTACGATGTCTACCATTCAGTAGTACCAATAGCAATACCACCCATCTACCCCACCCCTCTACGTCTACTCCTTATCCACAGCAAAAGCCTTCAAATCATCCATCGCCACACCCTTCAACGCCTTCTCATTCGTCGCCTTGAGCACCACCTTCGGCACCTTCTTATCATCCATGCCCGTCCTCGCATCAAACGCCTCCTTCCACCTGCTCACACAAAGACACCACTTGCAGCCATCCGTCAACCCCACTTGGCGCAAGTCGTTGCCCCGCGCGGCAGAGAAGTCGAGGAACTCTTTCGACACTACACCCGCGATGGCGTGGTTGCCGGCGTCCGAGGCGGGCACTTCGCAGTAACCTGAGCGCGTGAAGCCGGTTAGGGGCTGTGTCGAGTGGAGCGCGAGGGGCTGCTTGAAGACTGTGGTGTGTTAGCCGTGGTGGGCTGGTGATGGGTGTCCTTGTATATGTCTAGCATGGACATGCCGCCCGTTCATTATCAAATCGCAAACACCCGTCGCAGTGCATGAACGACGCTGAGACTGCGAAACGCGTGCCTGAAGATCCCCGAGTCCGCGACGAAACTGTTTCATGCAAATGAACACAGGATCGGGATGTCGCGTAACCGTTTGGCTGGATCCCGAACGTTGAGACTTGAGACGACCCAATGCGGGATCCCGATGTCTTGTCTACTCTTCTCCATTGAACCCATGTGATCTTACGTACCGTTTAGAGACATACTGCCAGCTTCTTCCCGTTGCTTTTCCCCGTGATTCTGCACCGGCGCTCTTTCCCACTTAATTTGCACGTCGTGAACGTGAGCGTATTCGCGTTTCGGAGCTGTTCGTGCTGAACGTGTAAAGTTGGAGAGGAGATTGCGTAGTAAGCGCATGAGTGATGAGGTAGCAGGAGCATGCGCGGTTATTAACGTGCACACAATGGTTGACGGCTTGACGGGTGGTGGTGTGCTCAAGATGGCGTCAAGAGAGCGTTAGAGCGGAGGTTTAGCGCGTAGGGCTGAATGGATGACGTTTGGCAGGGGGGTAGCTGCCGCAGATCTCGAGAGCTGCGCGATCGGCTGTTGCACCATCGTGGGCCGCGGCTGGGATCTGGGCGTTGGGCGTCTTTGCTGGGGAGCGGGCCTAGGAGCGGCGATCGGCGCGACGATCTAGAATGTGATGCCATCGCAGCTATAGATGAGTGCTTTTGATCTATCGTCCCTGACATTGGTATTCGGGGTCTTGACGTGCTGGATGTGGTATTCATGCAGACTGCGGCGATCATGTCTTTACCCAGTATGTGGCGTTAGCGGACTTCAGACAGTGTATAGGCACCACCAAGTGATCGGCATGTCTGGACAGAGTTCACATGGAGGTTTATTCATGTTGAGAAAGGTTGCATCATCTGGGATAGTATTTGGAGTGATTGAAACAGAGCTACTGCGCCATGCAATTGTTCGTAGATGACCCTTTCTGTAACCGACAGCATTAAGATATCATCGCAGTCGTGGATGTAGAGAGCGATCGTGGGCGACACGTATTGATGAATAAGGAAAGTAAAAAGTATACAAAAACACCATTTCGCAAATGCATCCGTGACCGGTCTTGCCATCCAAACGCCGCCAGTAGGAAAGATCCCAAACACCTTTTTGTGGGTATGCAATTCGCTGCCATCCTTAGGAGATCGGTAGGCCGTGGGTATATATGCAGGTTGTAATGTAGTAAGTCGTATGCGCACTAAGCGCAGCGTCGTGAGTGACGGGTAGTGTGCGGTGCTCATCGGTGCACGGCACCCGCCTTGATCTCTCTCTTCATTTCCTCGAGCTTCTTGTGCATCTTCAGGAGGTCGTTCCTCTGCGCCTCAGTCGGGGGCTTCTCCGCCTCCGTCAGCTGCCAGTACAGCTCCTCGTACTTCTTATAGTACTTCTGGAACCTCTGCGAGAGCTCGACAGTCTGTCGGAAGCTCAAGTTGGGCATGGAGGGTGAGGTGGTCGATGTGGACGAGGCGCCTGGGGATGCGCGTGGGTTGTTGTGGTGGTAGCGCGAGGCGAGGCCGGTGTCGATGTTAGCGACCTTGCGGACCTTGGGCGCGGTGGTGGGAGTGTTGGAGGAGGAAGAGTCGTCCGACTTGCGCTTCAAGGAGCTAGTACTGGAAGGGGTAGAGCCGTTGGCCTTGCCGTTGGTGTGTGAGGGGGTGTGAGTAGGAGTTGCGCGGTCGCCACTCGGCTTCTTCACAGCCAGGTTGTGGTTGTGAATGTCGCTGTCAATGTCGTTCGCCTTGCGCTTGAGCGAACGGTCAGAGTTACCACCCGACTTGGCGGGCGATGGAGCTGCCGCAAGCGCCTTGTGGACTGGGTGCGAGTCCTCGAAGTCGCTGGCATTGACAGGCGGCGAGGCGGACAGCGGCGAGGGATTCTTTGGCTTAGTGTTGATGGGCATGGTGGGCTTGAAAGGCCGGTTGGCGGGGCGGTCTCGCTGCGAATCGCGGCCACTCATCTTGGGTTTTGCGCGTGGGTTGGTGGTGCCTTCTGAAGCGGGGGCTTTCTTGTTGCGTATTTTCGAGGCGTCGGTAGCAGGTGTATTGGACTTGGAAGGTGCGACGGGGCGAGGAGTTGAGCTTGAAGGCGTCGAAGAGGCTGGGGCTGTTGCTATTGTGGGCTGCTCCTCCTTCACCTCTTTCACGCTCACTTCCTTCGCGGCCGCAGCTGCCTTCTCACGGGCCAGGTACTTCTCCTTCATGGACGACTTCGGCTTGATCTCTACGTCCTTGGCGACCTTGGGCTTCTTCTCAACTGCAGGCTTATCGGCCGCCTTCTTCGTGACTGTCTTCTTCTTGGTGAGATCAGATATCTTGTGCATTGGGGTGCTCGCTTTGGGCTTAGCTTCTGGCGCCTTCACCGTCGAACGCGACAAGCATATGCCTTGGCCTCTCTGGTCACGGGGCAGCAGGATCTGCCAGAGCTTGTCGTCCTTGGCCAGCCGCTGGCGGTCGAACGACTTGATGGCGCCATCAATGGCTTGCTGCCGGTCCTCGGCGCTCTGGTAGGGGAACTTGAACGGATTCACCTCACGGAACGACTTATCGGTCAGCTGCCACTTGTCGGCGTCGGCAGTAGAGCGCTTGGCTATCTTGGGCAGGACATCTCGGATGTTGGCCGGCGACGTCCTGCAGGTGGCGGCCAGAGAGGCCTCGGTGGCGGGCTCCCGCGCAAGGAGGTGGATGATGGGCACTCGGAGCGCGCTGACGATCACGTCATGGCTGTTGCTTGGCTGCGAGGTAGGAGCCCGCTTGTGCATGGGCGACGACGACGCGCTGAGCGATGGCGAGCCCAGCATGGAAGGAGCGAGGTGCGAAGCCTTGAAGCCCGTCGACGGGAAGCGGCGATGGGCTGGTGTGCGCCCGGGAGCAGCATCGCCGACAATGGTCCTGCAGCAATCTTTGTCAGTCCTGGTATACACAACTGGGTCTCATCATGGCAATCATCCGCGACAGGGGTGCTCGAGTCTCTCGACTTGATGCCAGAGATCGTGGGCAGCCATGGGATACCGGGGAGGCATACTTGTTGGCTTCCTTGAACTCTGATATCGCAGCCATGTTACTCCGTAGCTGCTCCAGCGCCGAGTCTACGCCTGCCGTCACGTCCTCCGCCTTGTGTACCATCAGACTGTGGTTGATCATGCCCGCGAACTCGAGGCTGTCCGGGCTGCCAGTCCCGCTGGACTTGTACAATTCGTATCGGTGGAGCTCGCTGCTGCTCTGCAGCATATGCGTCTTGTCGCCATACTTGAGTTGCTGTTGTTGTGGTTAGCCCAGCTCGTGCCAGCCCCCATTCCGGGTCGAACCACCCAGGAACACCTAGGTAGCAACACAACACCAAGCGTGCACACATACAGGAGTCCGTCCGAAGATTATCTGCGGTGATTTTCCGCTCTTGACACTGGCCAGGAGCTCGTCGACAATGTCCTGGGTAATGTCCACCTGCATGGCCTGCACAGGCGGTCGTCTGTCGTCCTTAAGTCCGGCGTCGCTATCCGGAGCCCCGACAAGGGCTATGCCGCCCGAGGGGAGCAGCGAGGTCGCCATGTTGGTGTTGTTGGCGTCTATGGAATCAAAGAGGCGGAACGAGGTGTGAAGCTCGCACCCGGATGTTGCTAGGAGAGGCAATGCATGGAGAGAGCACCCAGGCACTGAGCGAAGAGCAAGCAGTGCAGTCGGGCCCGAGGCAGAGACCCGTCACAGACGTCTCTGGCGTTTGGGTGAGGCGTTGGTAGGCTCGAGGAGGACGGAGGAACGAACAAAGGACGCTGCTCGGAGGACCGTCAGACAGGTCAGACTGTCACTGTCATAGCGCGCCCGGAATCCAGCGAGCAAGCGTGCACGGATATCAAGGTACGATGCTGAAACGATTGGTTGTCACGCACAGGATCAACGGCTGGGAGAACCAGACAATGTTGCTATAACGATGCAGTGTATTCACACGCAAAAGTGAAGGGTAGTGAGCTGGACGGAGGCCGAGCGAGTTGCGGTGTTGGGCCAGCACACATGCCTGAGAAGGCGGTGGTGCCGACAAGGGCGGTCGAGGCATAGCACGATTACGCTTCAGGGTGCCAAATCCAGCGGCGGCCCGCTTGCAAGGTACCTCGTGCTACCTCAATCTGTGGCCGCTGCAAGGCATTGCCATTCACGCCCACTGGTCCCATTTCGTTTTATTAAAACAGCATGCTCGTCACGGTACGATGCCATCATCACAGCATGCAAAAAGCGCAGAGCGACAGCTTTTGACTCGGGACTCGATCTCCAGTGCTGCGCCATATTCCAACACGCTGACCAGAGCTGCACGGTGTGCTGAGTCTGGCAAGCCTGGGCGGGTCCACCATCACTCGTGGCAGAACTGCGGGCAGCAAATGGCCTGCGTTTAAAAACGACGGG